ACAATGTGTTTATCCAATTTTGTAGCAAATTTTTGTACCTGAAATAGGTAGTATTAGAAATCAAACATAAATTTGCCATTGGCCATATTGGTATAAACTATAAAATATATTATAATGGTGTAAAATAATATTATGTTACGGAAAATGTGAACATTGAACACTGAACAGTGAATAATGAACAATTTTGAATGGATTTGTTTTGTTAAATGACTTATTTATCTAGGTACCTATCTATGTAGGTATTATACCCATGGACATTGTATATTATGATTTATGTTACTATGTTAAGTACCTAATCGATAAAAAAAAGCGAACTAAACAAGGAAAAAATAACAAAAATAAAAAATCACTGCTAACCCAACAGTCCTAAACTATAACTACACAAATATGTGTTGTCAACCTATAATCTCTGCTTACTGCTCAGAACAGTTTTTCGAATAAGGTTCAATAGATTTATCATCGAATTAAAATTTAACACGCCCTTCACACATCCCCAATACAGTTACCACTTTACCAGGTCAACTCTTTTCATATAACTATATTAGGTATGTGTTTATTTAGGTTCACAATTGGTTGTAACGAATATTGAGATAAATTTACCTTAATATTTTATATTTCTATACAAACATAATATATAATAGATTTTCACCGAATAGGTAGGTACTGTTCACACTACACATATACGATATACCCAGGGAACTAGGGAAGCGAAAGTTCTAAGGTATCGGAATCACAGTCCAGAACCGAGGTGGACTGGTTGGGTTATATATATACATTATACTTTATAGTTAGGTTCTTTAGAGAGACACCCAAAGGCCTCAAAGGGGGCAGGGGCCACAAAACGTCAATACAGAAGACGTGCCGTAGCGTAGCCAGGGGGGGTGGGGGTTGGATGTTTGGGTAAAACTACATGACGCTATGGAAGGTGACTTGGTGGCGTCCAGCGACACTGCTTCAAGTAGCTAATATAATATATTAATAAATATAAAATGTGAATATATTTCAAATACCACTGTTGCCGAGGGTTTAGTATACCTACGTATGTTAAATAATAATAATAAAAAAAAAGATTTTAATATTTATTTAGAATAGGTAACTGTTATTTCTTACTACTAACTTGTAACAACTAACAAATAACAATAATATTAAATATTTATAATTTATATAATACTAGATGTTCCGCTTGGCGTGCCTGTGCCAAAGATTTGTTTTTTTTAAAAAATATATTTGTGAATTTAAAACACAATGTATGTGCCATATTTCTACTAATCATATAATAGACAATATAGTAATATAATACTTACCAAAACAATAGCAACCCAAAACTCTATAAATAAACAAAAAAAGATGTGTTTTTGTGAACTGAAAAGAAAACCACGCTTGAGCTATCTACCTATTATCTAGCTACATATATGGGTTGACAAAATAAGGTATAAACATGCTCCAAGCTAACTTAAGGAATCTATTGACAAACATTTTATTTAAAACGATTCAGTAGTTTTAGAGTCTATTAATTACAGACAGAGTATAGACGGATCAACATCCATTTTATATAGATTATATACCTAGATTAAGATTTATAACTTTTAACTATAATTATTGACTTGTAGCTCATTTTCATATAGGTACCTATTGGCTACTATATGTACTAGGTACCTAGTGACTAAAAGTAAGTCCTAGGTCATAGTCTGTAGATAGATATATCCATAGGCGCACATAGGGTGTTAATTTAGGGGGTGCTGGGATAATTTATGATTCACAGATCCGTGGGGGGCAAAGCCCCCCACACCCCCCTAATCCTAATATTTCTGCATTGCATTAGTTTTAATTTGTACAGTGTATACAATAATTTCTAAAGTGCAATGTATCAAATAGTCTGTATGATTGTAAAGAAGACGCTAGGTACACCCACATGGCCACATGTGTTGTCTTCGTATTACAGACGTATAGGTACAACATAGGCAAAACTGTTTTGCACGGGTATAAAAAACATTCAGGCTCTACTCTAAGCTAAAAAACTAAATGTTCACACTAGAAAAATGAGAAAATTTACTCTGTAACTTTGTTTTTATATTTCCGATATCAAAACCAAAATAAAAGTTATTTAAGTTTGATAAACAAAAAAAGGTGCTCTGCTGTACAGTAGGGTACAAGTGGGTCACTGTATAATCGATGGTATTAAATTTGAATTCAATGATATACTAACATCATTGTATAAGAAAAACGATTCTGAGCGAAGACGGTTAAGTCAGCTTATGATATTACTAAGTATATTTGATGATACTAAGGTGAATAAAGCAATTTATATATAACCTATTTAAGTAGAATCTTGTTTTAAATTTTCAATCATTAGCTATAAAAGTTGAACATTTTATAAATTTTTAACTATAAAATTATTATTAAATTTTAAATGTGATACATTTTGTCAAAATTTGAATTTTAAATAATTATAAAAAAAAATTGTGCCTATGTATTTTTAATATTTTTCAAGTGTTAATGTAACAATATATCAGGAGCTTGGCATTCAATTTTCAAGCTTTTTTACCATACAAATACAATTTTATTGATATGAATAGAAAAAAAAATTAAAAAAATTGTAAACTGAAAATGTCCGTAAATAGCTCAAAAAGAATCAAAATATTTTCAAAACTATATGGTGTATAGGAAATGCTAATATAAAAATTTAGTAAAATTTTCAAGTATCTACAGTCATTCGTTTTTTAATTACAACAAAATTAGAAAATCGTTACATGAGAAATCGAGTGAATATCAAATGTTGTAAAAATATGAATTTCAAACCTTGATAAAAATTTAATTTGAGATTCTTGTAGACATTTTTTTTTTGATAAAAGTAGACAAACTTATGAGGAATCTTGCATTACATTTTCATATTTTAGATTTAAAAAGAAAAATTTTTATGAATTTCTGACTCGAAATAATTTGCAAATTTTGGTCATTTTGTAGTATTTTGTTAATATTTGGAATTTTTTTTTTTTTTTTATTTTTATAATTTTTATTTACAATCTGTTACAATAAAAATATGAACAATAAGTAAAATAGATAATTGAATGAATAAGTGGCTTGAGGAAAGGACGGATTTAAGAAGCCTTCCAGTGAAGAATATTTGGAATTTAAATGCTTATAACAAAAAACTGTGAGTAAGGATTTTTAATATTTTTCATCTGTCTTTGAAACAATATATTACCCACATAGCAAAAAGCAGTTTTAAAATCATTTTAGAAACATTTTTCAGAATATAATGAATATTTTCAAAAGATCTTTTAATGATCAACATATATTTTAAAAATGTTTTCAAGATATCTTTTGGCCTGATAAAATAATCTTCAAAATATTTTTGTTTTGTTTTCAAAATGTTTTTGGAAATATTTTTAAAACATATTCATAATTCAATTTTTAAAATATACTGTTAACAATCTTTTCAAAATATATAATAATATTTTGTATTAATTTTAAAGATTACTTCAAAATATTTATTAATTAGTAATTACTTAAACATTTATTGATTTAAATGTATGAATTAATCCTGTATTATAGGGTATCATACTAGATTATATAGTTAATATTCTATTATTAGACAATTATGACTTATCATTAAAACCCAATAAACTTATTGTATCATTCAACCTGGATGAGGACTCTAAACTGAATTATTTATTTTGGTTCATATTATATATTAATTTGAGTTCTCAAAATAAGTTGAATTTGTTGGGTATAAGTTATATTTATTGAAAAAAAAAATAAATTATAAGGTTAGTGTTCATTCTGGTTATAAAATAGAATTTTGGATATTGTTTGGATTTTTACGGAATACGCGTAAAAGTAATATAGGCTAAGTCCTGTAATTTACATAATATTAAAAATAGTATTTTAAATATGAATAATAAATAATAAATAATAATAAACAATATATTAGAATTAAAAAATATATTAAATTGTATATTATAATATATTAATTTACAATTTTATTTTTAGTAGCTATATACTGATAACAATTCTCTTATTGTTAACAAATAAAACAGAACATTTAAAATTTATAATTATATGAATAAGCGTAAAATTAATACAGGTACGAATTACTGTAATTAACATAATATTAAAAATAGTATTTTGAATATTTATAATAAATAATAATAAACAATATTAGAATTTAAAAAAAAATATTAAATTGTATATTATAATATTAATTTACAATTTTATTTTTAGTAGCTATATACTGATAACAATTCTCTTATTGTTAACAAATAAAACAGAACATTTAAAATTTATAATTATATGAATAAGCGTAAAATTAAGACAGGTACGAATTACTGTAATTAACATAATATTAAAAATAGTATTTTGAATATTTATAATAAATAATAATAAACAATATTAGAATTAAAAAAAAAATATTAAATTGTATATTATAATATTAATTTACAATTTTATTTTTAGTAGCTATATACTGATAACAATTCTCTTATTGTTAACAAATAAAACAGAACATTTAAAATTTATAATTATATGAATAAGCGTAAAATTAATACAGGTACAAATTACTGTAATTAACATAATTTTAAAAATAGTATTTTGAATATGAATAAAAATAATAATAAACAATATAAGAATTAAAAAAAAAATATTAAATTGTATATTATAATATTAATTTACAATTTTATTTTTAGTAGCTATATACTGATAACAATTCTCTTATTGTTAACAAATAAAACAGAACATTTAAAATTTATAATTATATGAATAAGCGTAAAATTAATACAGGTACAAATTACTGTAATTAACACAATTTTAAAAATAGTATTTTGAATATGAATAAAAATAATAATAAACAATATAAGAATTAAAAAAAAAAATATTAAATTGTATATTATAATTAATTTACAATTTAAGTTTTAGTATCTTTACTGATTCCAATTCTCTTATTATTGTTAGCAAATAAAACAAAACATTTGAAATTAATTTATAGTTATGAATAATTAAAATTATAAAGAATGAATTTTTTGTTGTTTTTTTTCTTCTCTAAATTTAGCATTTGCCATGAAAAATTTCATTGGTTTTAACACTTCTTGGTCTGTGCAGTTCCGATGTTTTTGTACACTTCTTACAGTTTCTAAAATATATATAAGTATATTTTGTTTTATTAATGTGTAGATGGTATCATTATTATAATATATTATAAGATCTGGGCTATATTTGTATGAAATATTAGAATGGTTCAAATTAATGTAAAATTAATAAATAACTTATTTTTTTTTTTTATCTTAAACATACAAAACAATTCTTTCTTATTCTTATTATGTACTTTTACCAATCCTTATTAGTATTTAAGAATTTGCTAATTGTTTTAGAATTTATAGAACAAATACAAGTTTTAACTTATGTAAGTAGGTATATTATAAATATATTAAACAATTAAAAAACAAATAAACCAAATCATTTAATATTTATAGGTAATGTAAATAAAAAATAAATGAATTTTATAAATAAATAGTTCATTTTAAAAGATTTATACATTTTAAAATAATTAAATAACTAAATACCTATTAAAAAATGTATTATATTATGTAATTAAATATTGGAGGTTCATTATTGTTTAATGAACCTATTATTGTATTATATTAATTAAAAAAATTAAGTCTTAATTATATTTAAGGTATGGGCAGGTGATATGGTTTCATTAATAATATACTGCAGTAAAATATATATGCGTATAGTTTGCATACTGTTCCATATTATCAGAAAATTTCAATATTAAGCCCTTTCTCTTGGATAATTCTATTTATGTTACTCTTTATCATAGCAGCTCTGACACACATTATTATTATATTTATTAACACTATTTACTTTATAACTTATTATAATTATTAAGTATACTAAAAAAAAAATTACCAAATATGATGGAACAGGAATGAAGAGTAGCAAACACCATTTTATGTTTCTGTCCTGCATAAGAAAATTGTGATAGCAAATTATTATGAAACATCTTCGACATTATTTGGCGTGTCATATCTGAAACACTATCGCGTTCTAGTCTACTCAAGTAATGTACCTACATAATAATAAAAAAATAAATTTTAAGTTGTAAGAAAATTATTATCAAATGTATGTCAAAATTATTGAAGATTTATTATTAAACGCACCACTTTCTGCCGAAATTCAATGTCTCCTAATTTTTCTTCAAATATATTTAGCTCATCAATATTTGTCATTGGGAATTTATAAATACTATCATTGACTAGATGATTAACTTCTTTTGAAAAAGATTTGTTTTGATTTGCATGAATATCACTCAACATATTTTCAATCCTATCAATTTTTATCATATAATTTTTCATATCATATTTAATGTTTGTAATGGAACGAGTCAAATTTATTAAAGTATTTCTTAAACCTGAAAAATTATTAATAATTTTCAATCTTATATACATTCTACAAATCAGTTACCTATAATGGTTTTGAAAAAGATGCAAATTATTTATTTATTATATTACCATCGGTAGCTAAGACCTCATTAGTATAACGACTACAAGGCATGGGCGACGTGTTAAAATCAACTTGAGTAGTAACGACATCATCAATATTATGATCATTTAAGCGATAGTTTCTTGTAGGGGACTTAAGCAAATCTGTATTTATGCTTTCTGAAAGTGATAAGTAAAGTACAAAATTAATTCAAGGAAACTTTTTTTGATTTATACAAACAGATTCAAAATAAATAAATTGATGTATATATATTAATATATATATTTATATTTTATCTATATATATATATATATATTTTAATAACATAACTAATGTATAATTTTAATTTTATGTTAATTTAATCATGTAAGTTCAATATTACCAAAATGTTTTGGAGACTGACTGACACGACCTTTACTATTACGGTTCCCATTTGTTTTTTGGGACATTGAATCAAAATTTAGTTTTCTTTTTGAAGATTTAGTGGACCTTGAATTATTATTATCAATTATTACTTTCCATTTTCCTGATGATGCAGGTGAGTTTATTTTAATAATATTTGAGCTTGGTCCTATAATATAATGACAATAATAATAATGGCAAAAATATAAATAGCTTAATTCATATATAGTTAGCAAACACAACAGTTCGTATAGTTATGTGCATTCATTGGAATGTAATACTTTAATTACCTTCAAGAGATAACTTTCTAGAAGGGGATCGATAATTATTGTTTTTTGACATGTTTTGTTGCTTTTCACTCATTTTTACTTCAAAATATTTTACGGGAGACTTTTTAACACCTAAAAAAAAAGAAAATTGTAATATATTATTAAAAATAATAATTGTGATTCATTTATATCTTACATGAATTCATATTCGGGAGAATAAATGTACGATCGGTATCAGAGTCATCAAAATCTGAATTGTCTAAAAAAAAATTATAAATACAATGTTATATTACAATAATGAATAGGTTTAATTTTACTTTTATTGTATACCTGTATCATCAATTAATTTGGGAGGACTAAATGTTTTTGGCGGTTTTTGACATGCGGAAAGATTTTTTTTTTTTTTTTTTAAATTAAAATCATAATTATCAGCATCACCAAGTATTTTGCATCGAAGTTTTCTAGTTTCTTTATTTTCAATTTCTGATAAATCTGAGGTATGAGTTGCTTTACTACATTTTGTTTTGGCATCTTTTAAAGTTGCTGAAAACCGTTTTAAAGCAATATTATAAATTATAATAAACAAACTATAAATAAAAATAAAGGTACCTAATAATAATTAAACATTTTTTATTGCAAATTAACAACTGTTTCAGTTGAATATTTTTACTAACCAATATCTTTTGCTAAAATACGAACATCATACCAATTGAAATCTGATGTATTAGGATTTGTTTTTTTTTCAATCTGTTTTTTTGGATCTAAATTTCTATGAGGCCAAGCACAAGTAGTTCCATCTTTTGACAGCCAATGAGATGGTACAACTTCAACTGTATCTTCTTGTACAAATATTACGATGTGGTATGTCATATTAAGTTGAATGCATAAAATATAACTGTAAACATAAAATTTAACTAATTTAGGTTAAGTACAAAAAAATTTATTTAACTACCTAGGTACCTTCAAAATTTTTTTTTTTTTTTTTAATTAGTTTAATCATCATTAATTGAATGTATAATAGGCAAAGCTATTTTTTCATTACATTTTTCCAATAGCATAACCTTTTTTTTTAAATTTTTCATTGGAATCCAACATAGTTCATTAGATAAATTATCAACAGTATAAATATTAAAAGTATCAGAACTAAGTGGTTGTTCATAAAATGGTCTTTTAGATTGGAATATTTTCCCAATGAAAACAACTTCATTTGTATCTTTAGTATGAGCTATGTTTAAGACTTTCATAATATTATTGTCTACAGTTAATATAAATTGATCAGCTATACATGTTGTTTTAATTTTTGTATTTAGTAAATGAACAGTTTTAAATTGTGGTGCTATTAAATCATTTAACATAGGACCATTTGTGTGTTCATTTTTAAAAACAATTTCTGTATTAGCATTTTTATAAGTATTTGCATTTTTTTGTTCATAGAATCTTTTAATTATTTGTTGTAGCGGTTTATCGTGTTTTTTTATCATTTTTTTGAGGGACTTCATATAATTTTCAAAAGGAAACGCGCTTATGTTGTCGAGAGGGCCAAAATTGGTATAGTCATCAGAGATATGTAAAAGCCCATGAACATTATGCGAAATAAAATGTCTTCCATAAAGGTTTTCAAATTTTTGAACAAAGTATTTGAGTAAATTTCTAGCAAAATCTATGTACTTTTTTTTCATATTATCACTTAATAATATAGTCATGGCTATGTTAAGTGCCATGAAGTGCATATAACAGTTGCTGTTTATGTTGTCTTTGAAAACGACCTGTCCAGTATATAAAAGGATTTGACGCAGTTCTGTGGCTTTAAATCTTGGTAATTCATTTAAGGCCCTGGGTTTCCGGGAAAAATCACAAGGGACACTCTTTTTAAATGATACCAGTTGGTTTGATATTATTTTTACAACAGAACTAGGTAATCGAACATTCAATGGCCCCTTGTTCATCCATAATTGAATTAATTTTTTCATAATTCCTATGCAAACAAGATGCATGTAATCCAACGCAAATGCATCTACAATATTTACACCAGGTAAATCTGATAAAATTGAGATTGTATTCCCCACATGATGTTCTTCATACTTCATATTAATGTAGTCATCATGTGTGCGTTTTTTTTCACTACTTGCTGTATATGGAAAACATGATCTATTTTTCAAATATTCCCCTTCTTCTATGCACCGGGTGCACGAATCATAACCACTGTGACCCTTAACTTTTAGCACATACGACTTAGCGGGGGCATCTAGAGAAAATCCATCGATTATAACTTTAAAAATCACTCCATTAATATTAACGCCATTTGTCAATAACTCTTTAGCTTCTACACAAAATTGTTTTAAATATAAATTAGAATCGTCAGGTTTCTCATGGCCCCAGTATATACCAATTGGAAACACAGAATTCTTGAATGGGCGTATATACCCTAAAATGGGCCATAATTGACTTGCACTGCTCTTGGAGATTGGCAAGCCATCAATGCCAATAACTATTTTGATAACATCAATATTATTTGTTGAAATAAATTTAAAGTGTTCCAGAATAGCTAATCTCAAACCAAAATGGTAATATAAACCAGGATTTATTGTAGTTAAGCACTGTGTCTCATTCATTTTTCTAGTATCTAAAATACTGCGTGAATCTTTGGGAAGTTGTGATAATGTTGGAACTTTTTTTAAAATAACCAATAATCCATCTAAAGCATTATGATTTATGTTAAACTTTACTGCCCACTGGCACAAATTACGCTTGAATAAATCACATTCATTAATAGTTTCAATTGGTTCATTAAATGCATTATTCTCAGGAAACTATAAAAATACAATTTTTAAAGATTATAAAATAGTGGGTAAAATACCTAAAAGTAGGATGGAGTTGCCACCTGGCACCTAGCTATGGCCAGTATATAACCCTATAATGGCCACTAATTTTTGATTTTTGTTTAAAAACTGATTATTTTATTTAGACTTAAATGGATCACCCTTAAATTTATATACCAAAAATATTTTGACAATGGCCGGGTAGATTAGGTAAATATAAAAAATTTAATTTAAAAACTATAGAATTTTCCTCGGAATTTTCTCATTCCATAATGTTTATAAGACTCAAATTTAAACTAAAGGTCGTTTAAATTATAAAATACATTATATGGTGTAATTTTTATTTTCATTAATGACTATAGGGATAGAATAATGGTATTATAATCACAAGGGATAAACAAATTATGTTAATAAAATAGTCTTAGGTTAATTGGAGACTCCATCCTAAATAAACTATAATTATAATAAGATTCATATACATTACAAAATGTTGTTCCAGAACTGAAACAGTTTTCTTCAATATTTTGTTTATAACTATTACATATTGGAGTACTGATATTTTCTTCATAGTATTTGTTATTTGGATTATTAGCAATAAAATCATCATTGAAATTCACATTCACTTCTTTACAAAAGGTATGTCTTTTCTTTTGCTTTGAAAAATTAAGATCAAACTGCACACATTCTAGTTCTTCCTTAACTCTTCTCCTTTTTGTTCTTTCACTTGTCATGGTTTTATTAAAATTTTTAATTCTATGTTCCAACAAACCATAATCAAATGAGATATGTATATAGGTAACCTAAAGATAATTTTCAAATATCGTTCGAGTACCTACATCATATAGTTACACATTTTTAACAAGTATTTTCACAAAACCTCAAGAAATCATTTGTTTTCAACATTGACACAATTAGCCATTACCTATATTATTTGTCTTATTATTTTATTACATTTAAATTAATTATTTTATTATATTCAAATTAATTATGTTATGAAACAGTTTAAAATCAAATCATCAGGTATAATCTATAACAACCTAACCTATATTATAGCAGGTAGGTAATAATAGTAAAAAAATATTATTAATTATTATATTATACAGTAATAATAGTATTATATAGGTAATTAATAAGTAAATATTAATAATAGTATAATAACTAAAGTAATAATACCTATGAGTAGTAGGAATCTGACATAATAGATAAATATGGGATAAAAAATACGTCAGCTAGTTGACTATTTAATATACTTATCCTTATTATAATATAGGTATATAATAGCTATTATAAAATAACAATTAAATATATCTACCTACTATATTATAACCTAGGTATACTATAGCTGAAGTCATGGTATAAAGATCATGGTATGATAAATTAACCTTAGGCATTACCTATACATAAAATTAAATATGGAACTATTAAAACTATATGGATACATTAGTCCCCTCTAGAATTTTAAGCCCGACTTGTTGTTATATCATGGCTGCACTACTGCAGTAATGCATGTTATAGCTGTAATTGTGACTTTTGTTGATATTAATAATAATTCGATGCTCCAGTTCAAAATTGCAACAACTAAAAAAAAATCAGTTTATTGGGTTTACCTACCTAATGTGTTTTCTATATTGTAGCGCTATGTAACGTAATGTAAATTATGAAATTGAAAATGCTCTCTTATAGTCAATAATTATAACTACCTATATATTTTATTGCGTTCTTGAACCTAAATCGTTATAAAATGGTGTACATAACTCGGATTTGCTATAACATGAGTTGTTGCAGTTTTGAACTGAAGCATCGTTATAATGAATTACGTTAGAAATATCATTCTATTTTTAATAATATCTAATAGTAAATAAGTTATACCTTTATTTCTGAACTATGATGTATAATTAAAAGATGCATAATGTTAAAGTCTTGAGTATTATTTTATAACGAGTAAAATGTTCATCCTTTCTCATCCAACGTCGTAGAGACGTTATAATAATAATAACAAAAATACTAAATAAACTAAAAATAACGTTTACATACCTGTAATTAGTCCGATTGCAATTATTAATCTGCAGCAGTTCTATAGCAATATATAGAATTCAAACAACGTTAAAACTGTACAAATGCGAATGTAAAATACTGAAACGGTAAAAGCACTGAAAGCATGGGTTAAAAATTAAAATGTCAACGACCAACGTACATTGACACGTGACATCTTATACTCGTACAGTCGTGCGGCAAGCCACTCAGTCATTATCTAATATCTTTATTCTATGGTATTTTTTTTATAGTATGGTGCCACTGAGAGAGCACTACTGGGCGGCGACCAAAATTCGTCCGATCTCGCGCATTCCCACCACTAAATCTGCCCGTACGCTGGTCGCCGTTGCTACTCCGTCGTGGCGAGTAGGTGGTAGAGTGGGAGAAATATGGGTACGAAAACGCTCGGTCATTTAGAATTAGAATAATTTTGGATGCGCCAACGAGTAGCGCTCTCTCAGTGGCACGACTGCACGAGTTATAGTCTGGTCTCGTCTTAGGTGATTTTAGTCTGTGTTCTCCATAGCTGACACGCCAATATCGGACCGTCTACCTACTAATCTAATAAAAATATTATGCTACAGAGAGAACGCTATAGCGTCACTGCGTCAGTATACTGACTTAGGCATAGATCTATTATGACAAAATAATATACTGCGAGTCTGCGAATACTCAATACTGATGATAAAGTAAATTTTTGGTGGTGTCCACGGACTAAGATATCTTAATATATGGTGGTGTCTGATTGTCCGGGGAATATGGGACTATGGAGTAATCGTAAACCGTTATGGGCGGCGGGCAACGGACGACGACAGCGGCACCGGGATTACCCATCCATATCGATGCGTAATGCGTATATATGGGTATATATTATTATGTTATTATATTATGGGTATCATGGCTAAATAATATATATTTAGCCATGATAGGTATTATCACAATCACAGAACGATGCAACGACAATTATAGTAACTTACTATTATTATAGTAGAATATTATTATTTATTACATAATGATAAATGATAAATGATAAATGATAATTTATTATATTATTGATACCTAACGGGCCAGTAACGGCTAACGTCTGAACGTCATATAAAATAGAAATATCATCATTCCATGCACCTACAATAAATTATTATTAATAATTATTTAATATAATATTATATATTCAACACAATAATATAATATTGCTATAATACGAACTATAATAGTATAATATACTCTGTCCGGCGAGAGAACGCGCATGACAAATAAGAACCGAGGAACCGAGAAGGGTTACAATAATAATTATAAAATAATAAAGGTACGCACATAAGAAACCATAAATACGCCATTGCTCGGTGGGGCCCATTATTCTTTGAAATATTTCCCTAATCATTTTTTATTATCATAACTCTCAGTTATTTTTAAAATATTTTAAAATTAACTGATAGGAAATATTTTTCAATAATATAAAAATGTTATTTTATAGTTATATACTGTATGATAATCATATTATATTTCAAAGAAAAAGTTTTTAAAATATTTTAGAAATAATTGACTTAACATATTATACGATATATATTATAATTATATTTTTAAAATATTTACCAAGAAATATTTTTGTCAAGACGATTAAAAAATATTTTGTAAATATAATCATCACCCAAATGCTATGTGGGTAGGAGCCTTCTATTAAATGTTTAAGCTTTTATACCCAACAAATACAATTTTATTGATACTTATAGAAAAAAAAACTAAAAAAAATGGAATCTAAAAATGTCCGTAAAAAGCTCAAATTAACTCAAAATATTTAGAAAATTTTATCATGTATAGAAAATGGAAATATAAATAACCAGTGAAAATTTCATATATCTACGGTCATTTGTTTTAAAGTTACACCAAAAACCAAAATCAATTTTCTCGAAAACAGAAAAATTCCCGGTTTTCCTTAATTTTTCTTTTGTTTTTCACGGCGCTTTTGAAAACTACTGTGAAATTTTTGCTTTTGACCCCCCCAAAGTACCAACTAGATTCACTTTCCTATCAGAAAAGATATTGTTGAAGAAAATCCAAGCACTTTTACTGTCCTAAAAGATGATGACAGACAAAAAAAAAAAAAAAATGAATTCGTGAATTCGTAAACAGTTGTCAATATTTGTAATGAAAAGAAAAATTCCGAACCAATAAACCACGATAGTTTATAAATGATTGGTGAAATACTGAAATAAACTGAGGGTGCTAGTTTGAAGCTTGGGGGTGCTAAGCACCCCCAAGCACCCCCCTATGTGCGCCTATGGATATATCATTGTATATTAACGAATTTCTTTGACGTTGCGTGTTTTCGAACATTGGTCATTGAGTGCGGTGACTGTCAGTCGGAGGTCAACAACTAAAACTGAATTATCAATTAATGATAAAATATGACGTTAATAATTAATATCACATAGATAGATGAAATTTCAACTATTCTTCGGTAGGTAATAAACAACATGAGGTACCTACCTATACGTACGACCTACCTACATACGTTTTTCGATAATATTTTAAAACATAGCTCGTTAGATTCCCGTTTTGTAGGAGTAAACAAGTATATATAGGCATATAGCTACTTACATCAATCACTACACCTCTACACCTCTACCATTTTCTATACCCAATGATCAGTGGCATGCAGTAGTTACTACATAGAATATAGATACCTACCTATATAGTTAGTTAGTATAGTTACCACATTTAAGATTTTTTTTTTCATTGGCAAAATATTTTAGTTTATATTTTTTGTATTACACTAATTATACGTTCATATAAAACATTTTTATTAACGCAATATATTAAGTACCAATAATATTAGGTAGCTACTGGACACTGTATGGCATGGCTCGCCCTTCAAGCTGTAGAGTGTAGGTAGTAGGTACCATAGGTACTTGTTAAGTAAAGATTGCGACTTAAAACATATTATTATATGCATTTAGTAGTATTGTCTTATTCTGTGATCTAAGCATCGTAATTTTTGAAACATTAATAATAACACAACTAGGTGTACCTAATTTAATATCAATAAAAAAGAAAATGTTCAATATTAATAATGGACGATATTACTTGTAACGGGGGAGTTGCCGTTGGTACCTATATCTATTATACATGTTTATGTTATTTAATATTTTATGATGTTCTCCGTTGTACATATTTAACCTTACTATAGCTTAGCAAAAAAAACATTTGTTTTTTTTTATGCATTATATAATATAGTGGGCGATGTGATGTGTAAATGAAAGTATTTTATATCAATTTTATTAAATTAAAAGTATTTTTAGTATCATTGGCTTGGCCCACTCTGCCACAACAGGCTGCGTACTCCTATAACCTATGCCACTGGCATATTCATAGTATCAACTAATTTATTACGAACATTAAAATTCTTAAATAATGCTGCTCTTGCCACCTGATGCAACCACTACCACGAATCAGTTGCGTGCTCAACTTTTTTGAAAGAGGGGGATATGCATTTTTGACTATTCTCAGACTATGCGTGTTATGTAGCGACAAAATCTTCCATTGCTTTGTCATGTATTATATAACATGTTAACAATAAGCCAAATGGGGGACGGGGGTTATGACACTCCCCCCTCCATGAGTACGGCCCTGCTAAGGACAGCCTCTTCTATAGCAAAGGCTCCTTTTCACCACCTGTTTAATGACTCTACAATGATACGATACAGGTCATTACAGGGTTATATACTCATATAGTCATATAGGAACCTAGTCATATTGCATAAACAATAATTTAAGAAAAACGGTGTAAATGTAGGTAGGTATTATATTAAAACTTCATGACTCCAGTATTCGTAATATTCATATATGTCCTGTAATTAAATCTAATCCAAAGGGTGCCTACTGCCTTCATAGGTACATCTATAATACTTATGAACTTAGACATCTATAACAAATAAAACAAAAAATAATTAGACATTTTTCAATGCTATGTTATTTATATTCGTTTTACTTGTCCTTGTGAAAACATTAACATTGTTAATCAATATTCAATTTCTAAAACCATTGCTAGGTAACTAATAAAAAAAAAATCTAATATAATTATTTAAACATTTTAATGCTAAAGTTCAATAGGTTAGTACGATATCATTAATTTTAATTAGATTTATTTTATAACTTAATAGTTATTATTTTCAACAAATATAATTTAGTTATAATGGTTAGTGTAACAGATAAGTTCAAACTTGAGAATACTAATAAGTATCTAAGCGGCTATATATTAATAATATATAAGTGTTGTAACACAACAGTCAACAATTAACAAATAATACATTTTGAATATGAATTCATGAATAATGTTCCTCTTAAGTTTTAATGGAATACATTGGAAATAAAAGTTGTCCAAATCATTGTGAGTTCTTCCATTCATTTTAATGGTTTGCAATTTTAATTTCTTAAAATATTTCATGCAACTTAAATGATAAAGAACAAAAATGGTAAATTAAAAAAAAATTTTGATATCTAATCATATATAAATGACATACAACAACATAATATTCCTATTTCCTATGTTAGTAAAAGAGAATACCTTTAGTGAATGTAGAAGTAATTTTTAAGTATACAATTTACATAATATACTTAAATTTAAGGTAAAAATATAATCAAAAGGGCTGAACTTTATATGCTTCTACAGTTTTTTTATATGCTATTTATCAACCGAGTCTTGAGAAGTGTTTTAAATGGTCCTGAATTAAATATAAAATACTTAATACAGTGAGTTCCGCTTAATGTGATCACTGGTTTATAGAATCAACCGTTTATTAGAATCAAAAATGAAAATCCCAAACCAAATTGTATGCTACTAATGTTAAATTGACCTTTTATTAAAATCACTAAGTACCGGATAATTGAATCACTTTTATGAACAATCTTATCGTTTTTATGGTATCTCAAACTGATTAATTTATAAAAACCATTTTATTTTTGAATTTATCAGTATTACTGTATATCGTTGTACATTATGTCAATCAATTATCTTTGTATGTCGCGGCGTCGTGTACTTGTGTCATTTAGTTTATTCGGTTTATTGTTCATGATCAGACGTATTTTTTGAAATGTCGACCAAACGAAATGATTTAACTATAAAAGAAAAAAAAAATATACTCGTTCGTTTCGATAAATTGGATAAATGTTCTCAAAGAGAAGCCGCATTAGCTCGTTGAACATTGTTGTAAATGCTTTTTAGAATCAACCGGTCAATAGAATCAAAATGATCTGCACCAAAGTGATCACATTAAGCGGAACTCACTGTATATACATAGTTTAGTTTTAATAAATATGATAAATATAATATAAATCTAAACTCTAATAATCTATTATATGATAATAAGTGTATACTGTAACTTCTATTCGTATTCCTCAATCGTATCTTTATCCTTTAATTAATTCTTGTGTTAAAATGTATAATTTGAATTACATCTTATTTGTATAATCCATAAAGAAAAATATATCTTTTTTTTATGTATGTAAATATGAATATATTTATTTTCTTAACATTACATTATATAACTGTTTATTTACTATAATTATTTGGTCTGAAAGACCAAGTTACATACAAATATTACATAGTATTTTCATTTCAATTAAGCACCAATAAATTGTACAAAACATACATATTAAGTTAAACAATTAAGTCCCTATATAGATGGTAGAAAATAGTATTTTATACATTTTTGAATAAATAATTAGTAAATATTTACATTGGTAACAAAAAAATTCAAAAAAAAAAAAATTGAATAACAAAACTAAATGGTAAATTTAATGAATATATTTTAACATCACACATGTAAGTATTATTTTAAGCATCATAATAATAATTAAAATAAATAAGTCGTTGATATGGTTTTTATATTTTTATGATATACTGCATTTATTATCGTTTGGAACATTATTTTCATTTGGTTTTTCATTTTTCATTAACATAGTATGGAATTTATCAGCTTTTTCAATTTCCATTAACATAGTATGGAATATATCAGCTACACACTAAAATAATAATAATAAAAAAAAAAACATCTCTATTATATAAAAGTTTTGTATATTTACAAATTAAATTTGTATTTTACAATTTACATCTTTCACTTATTTAAAATATTTTAAATTACAAGATGAAAAGGGAGGTGACCCTTAGGTCTTGAGGTAAATCCTTCAAGGGAGCATCAAGCGTACCGAGCAGCGGATAGAGCCCCCCAGTAATAAAAAACTGATATCTATTATGTTTTGTATTAATAATATATTTTTTGTTTTAATACACTTAAGTACTTAAAATATTGAATAAGAAAGAAATTTTATTGAAAATAGTAGATAAATAACATAAGATTATTTAAATTAAAAATAAATAATAAAGGAAATTAACTACCAACTTTTTTTGATGTTACCTCATTCTGCTTGGCCGAAGCTTCAAGAAATACAGCTTTCCAAGAATCTGCTAACTTCCGTCCTTCCTCTTGTGTAACAACACGGTCCATATGCAAATCTTTTTTATTGCCTACCAATACTACAGGAACACTATGAAAAAAAATATATAAATGATACACCCAAAGGTTTAATACTCATTAGTAGGGTTCGGATTTTAAGGAAATATAATCAATAAAAAATGTATTTAATTTATATAAAAAAGCAATTACAAAATTTACTAAAAATTAAATAACTTTCAGTTGATGTAACTAGTTTGTATTAAAAAAAAAGATAACTAGGTACCATATACATAAGGGATAAATGAACTTGCCGTAACAAACACTTTATCGATATCGCCGATAATAAATATTAAAACTTATTTTAAACATAACATCGACAATGTCTCGTATTCAAAAGCTCTTATCGATTTGTTCTGTTCTTATGTAAAGAAAACTATTAGGTCAACTGATAATTAAACACATACAAATTGAAAAATAGAAAAAAGCAAGAAAGGCATTTATAGGTAGAGTGTCGTGGCGAACTAAGAATTTTCCAGAGACAAGTTACACATATCCTAAGTCTTAATGCATAATAATTAATATAATTTATAATATAATTGTATTAATATAATATAACTAATTATATTTCAGATCGTTATTAACAAACTATTGAGCAGAGCTGTGTCAAGCAATTTAGCTCCCCTTCCCTAAAATTTACACACAGCTAGCATATTTAGAGCAAATAAAGGCGCCCCCTTACTTTTACAAAACTATGACACCCAGGAGAAATTGGCCCCCCTCCTCCATTAATACGGCTCCGCTATTGAGTATATCATATTACATTTACTAGGGAACCAAACAGCTACCACCCACCACTCTATTTAAGAATAATCTCAGAGGCAATCCCCTTTGAAATTATCGTTCACCACGGTACTGAATAGGCAAAAAAAGCAACAAAAAAATTTTATCACATTATCTTAGAAGTGTAATGGCACATTTTAATTTAAAAATATTTTTTCTATTGCTATCAAAGAAAAAAAAGAAAAACATTTGCCTTCAAATCCGAACCAGATCCATTTAGTGATCTCTAACTACAAAACTACTTACTGTACATTGCCAGTCGTGTCTAATATTTTATCATAAATTATCTGAATGATTTCAAAAGATTTTGGTGACGCAATACTATAAACCAAGACATATCCATGAATGTCCATGGAATATTGTGTTGGCAATATGGAGTACTCATCTTGTCCGGCTGTATCAACTAATTTCAAGTCATATTCTTGATTGTTAACTTTAGTTGTTTTCACAAAAGCTGTGGAAATAAATTAGATAGTATAGAACTATTTAGCAATTAATAAAATTCTATCGTCGAGTATTATATCTTTAACTTATAATTTATATTATAAATTTATAACAATAAATCATTTTAGAATTTTAGAATTTCTAGATAGGTACACTTACTGTTTTCAATTGTTGGATCATAAGAGTCGACGAAGTGACCTTTAACAAACTGTATACTCAACGACGATTTACCTGAAAAAAATAACCAATGAAAATTATCTACAATCAATTCAAAAAACTAATTTGTTCTTTTTTACTTGGTATTATAATAATTTTATGTTAGTCTTATTCTGTTTCATCTACATACCGACTGAACGATAGCCCATAATAGCGATTTTTCTCTCTTTACACGGCATTTTGTTAGAAGAAGATCACTTCATTGAATAACTAATAATAATAATAATAACTAACAGATTATTAGATTAAACTGTAATGTTTTTGTTAATTTATTAACTACTGACACTATTATTTATTACCTAAATTCATAGATAATATAAGAAATAAGAATACATACATTTATATTATCTATACCTAAATTCAATACAAATTTAATACGGTCTTGTTCAACTTTATGATAATATTGATAATAGAATATAAGTAGGTAATTACGTTTTATTTTTTGGTTTCTGTATTCTGTTTATCAGTAAATGTTTTAGGTTATGTTTGGGTTCACAAATATTCACTATTCACTATTCAGTATTCAGAATCCGACTATCCGAGATTAATAAACTTTTATAAAATATTATCATAATAATATAATCGAATACCTACTTATTCTCGGTATTCGAGTAATCAAATTAAAAGTATTAAATAAACAGTATTAGAACAAATATTATACCTATAATATAGTCATGTAGACATATTTTAATATATATTATTATAAATTATAATTTATAGGTACCTACTATATACCTACTACCTTCATTTAGCGTTGTTAATCCTGTTGGATTGTAGGACGGTTATGAGTTATGACTGTCAACACTGTTGATTGTTTGTTAAACTTTGTTTAGTTCCTACTTAAGTTACTCTGTAGTAAACTGGTCAATATACTGTTGAAGTGGATATTTATTACTTATTAGTTATTATTTTATTAGGTAATTAATTTTATCACCTAAGAACGTACCTAGATATAGGCTTTTTATTATAATTTAATTTTAAAGCTAGTTATGTGTGTTTTAAAATTATAAACTGTTTGTACATCTTAAAATACTCATAACTCGCTTTAAAATTAAAATATAATAAAAAGCCTATACCATTGTCTAGATAATAATCTTACCTTCAAATTGTATAAGAGGTTAATTCGCTCTAATTTTTAAACTAAAGGAAGATAAACGTGTTTTACTGAGCGTAAAATTTGGTATGTTACGCACTTGTAAGACAGAGAAAACAAATGTAACTGTAACGGCCCCTTAAGAGTCAACGCTAATAATATAACTAAAATAAAAGTATTCCTAGTTTAATAATGTAACCATGTATAGGTACGGGGTACCTAAGTACCTTACAAGAACAAGTTACAAACAATTACCAAACGAAATATAGATGAGAGATACTTCTTATATTATTTTAAGATAATCTTTATTATGCACAAACATTGATTATAATTAATTATTAATTTATTATATAGTAATAAAGTTTGTTATATATAGGTACACATAAATCATACAACAATTAATAATATAAAATATAATATATTTTAAGCAATTACTATGCATGTAGGTAGGTAGGTATTTGTTTTTTTTTTAAATAATTGTTTTTATGTAGGTAAAATGCATCTATTTTATAACATATTACCAGTGGCGTTCTCAGAGGAGGGAGTTGTGGATATAATTTCTTGAAAAATGTATAAAAAAAAATGTTACACAAAGAAGGGACACATAAAAAGTAGTAGGTATGTATTTTGTATAATATTAGTAACTGGCTTATATATATCCATATAGGTAATATGTATCAGATACTCATATGTCATGCATGGTAAGGTGCTTACTGCTGACTAGGAAGTAGGAGTTACATAATGCAGTGGTCTGTTCAGAGTTTTTGACTATTCTAGACAGTTAGACCATGTTATATTGTTATATAGCTATAAATATACTTTCATTGCTTTATCATATATTTTATATGACAAAAGTAAGCCAAATGATGGTAAATATAACTGTAGTGTTATAATGCCACCCCACCGCTTACTTATGAAAAATCAGAAAACTTGTATTACATTTTCGAGCTTTTTAACCGAGCACAAAATTGTTAATAATCACTTAAAGAAAAAATCGAAAATTTCAATAATTAATCTATAAATTATTTACAAAAGTGTTCATATCAAAAGTATGGGCTTAATAATAGCTTGGCATACTATTGTCACACTCATAAATCATAGTGACATGTAGGTAGTGGCAGTTTTACGGGGTATCCAGGAGATCAAAACATCAATCCCCACCCACACTAACCACAGGTTCCAAGTAACTTAAAATGTATTTGTTGAATACATTCAGTAAAACAGAAGTACAAAAATATGTTTTTTTTTATTAGTGTAAGTTATAGTTAAAAAATTAATAAATGATTAATGTGTAAACATTTTGTATATTAAATATATAACCCCTGGCCCTCCCCTCTAGAAAAAGATGTGAGTATCTACTACCATAGGGTAACGTATTTAGTATTTACTATTTACAATTTACTATTTAGAAACCCAATTGGTAATTAAAAATATTGTTGACATCCATGTTTAAAAATTGATGAAACCGGCCATTAGTATAAGGTCCACGTTAAATTCACCATTCCACGTCAGACGTATAAGCAAATACCACGATTTAGATACCTATGATGGGCAAATACCTATCGTGGCAAATACTATAACACTTTTATGCTATATCTATAGTATTTGGTTTTGGTATACCTACGCCTATTCTGTTCTAAAAGATGTTTCAGAGGTGTCACGTGAAAAAAGCAGAATAGCGCTGTTATATTCCTGTTCTGAAAGTTAAACTATATTCCAATGGCTACCAATTGCGAGAAACAAGCGTTAAAACAATTCCTTGACGGGTTTGAAACCGACGAGTTATGCAAAATAGTCCTATACTCCTATCTTTTCATCGAGGTGGAGTCGTTGAGGATAACCGAGAAGGTAAGGCTGTTTTAAAGCATTTTAAATTTAAATTATATGTAATATTGTACCATTGATCATTGTAAAAATATTAAGAAGGAATGTTGAGCCAATTAATTAAACTAAGAAAAAAGGGGGGAAAGTATAGGTATATCCGTTCTGTTGTACAGTAGCCTGGGCACTGGGCAGGTAGGACGCCTGGTAATTGGTACTTATACCATATAATTCGTCATTGAGTAAGACAGTAAGTCATTGCATATAATGTACGATGTAGGTATAGGTACCTAAATATTATGTTAAATTTGAATTCAATTATGTCAATCATTGCATACTATAAACGAATCTGAGCGAAAACGATTGACTGTCAGCCTAAATTTATAAATATTATATTTTATGATAAATTTATTTTAGTACTGAAGTAATTGATGTTAATATCAACCATTATAAGCATAAGTAATACGGAAAATTGAACTATTTTTTTCTCGAAAACCTTTCATTTATTAGATTATTTATACCGCGTAGAATGGCGTGAAGAAGTTAGTGGTAACTGGTATAAATATATTTATTGCATATACGCATAACATAAAATTAATCTAAAATCTAAATATTTTTAAAATGTCATTGTGTAAATCATTATATATAATAATAGACGTCAAAGTTTCAAATCCCCACGATAAATATTGTGGAATTATAACAAAATAACTAAAATCGTTATTCATTGTTTAAATAGGTATCTGCAGATTTCGTCCAATTTAAACATAACATTTTTCTAAAAAATTGTGTTTATATTATAATTGTTGGTTCCAATAGAACTACCTGAGGAACCTTATATCAAAATGTTCAAGCCATAACTATGAAAATTTAACATTTTATAAACTTTTAACTACAAAATAAAGTGAAAATATTCGTGATTTTGACGAATTCAGTACCTTAATCAAACCATCCAAATTTGTTAAACTAACATCTATTGTTTTATTAATTATAAAGTATAGGTAAAAAATTTAAATGTTTCAGCACATCGAGTGCTATTACACCTATATTTATAAAATTATTATTTATTATATTAATGACTAAATTACATAAGAATGGTAACATAATATATAGCAAATGATAGCTAGCTACAGTTAATTAACCTATTAAACGTAAAAAAGTTAAATTATTTATAAATGTTCAAATATGTATAATGTACAGGGACCACTGAAATATAGAGCCATGTTCCGAAATCAATGATTGTAAAATGATTCACAATGTTATCTAATCATGAACATTTGAAATTTAAACTTTTTATTTATTTCTACAGTAGTTGTAGTTATTTATTAATATCGGTAGATGGGCACGTTGATAACTTACTTTCTAACAATAGACAGATTTTCAGTAGACTTTGAAAATAAACGATTTTTTTCATTTAATGAAGAACACTACATTATAATGCTTAAGAATACAATTCATGTAATAAAGATTTAATTAATTCAAAATTCGTAGTTCGGTTACTTCTGAAATTATAACTACCTAATAACTTTTTTAAAGTAATAAATTAAATTAAAAAAATAGTAGGTACCTATTTTAATTTTATAGTTATTAAAAGTAATTTATTAAAGCAGGTGTTTAATTAAAAATTAAAATGGCCATATAACTTATACACTGAATACATTATAATGGCACTATAATTTAAGAAAATCAGTATAAAAAAGCTTTTGTATAAAAATGTACAGCTCAATGTTTATAAAATTTTTTAAAACGAAGTTTTTTATGGCACGATGTGGTGGTAAAAAACGTTCCTGACGAAATACTATAATTTATAATATATTAAACAGTTATTTTAGTCAAAACATCCAACTTTTATTCCATCATACTGATCGGTCTAGTAAATACTTTTTGAAACAGATTTGAATTTGTTATTTTTAATATTTGCCCCAGCGGGCAGTAAAGTAGGAATCCCTATAGTGCGGGGCGGCAAAGTGGAAATTCCCAATAGTGCTGGGCGTGCATATCGCGCGTATTCCCTGCACAACCAGACACTTAAATCTATACCACGGTCCTTACAAAACATAAACTTTTGGTTACATCTTATCATAATCTTGTATACATATTATAACCTCCTTGCATGACGCGTAAACATTTTTATTTCATGAAATTGTTTTCGTAGAATAATCTGATTGTTGCATATATCCCTGCATAGCTGCATAGTGCCATTACCTTTGCCGTAATTACATTTTTTTGTGCTTCGCGTTTGATGTAGACTAGGCAAAAGAAAACGCT